GGGTTCCGGCCCGAAAGGAGCCGCAAGCAAGGCATTTTACCTCAGATCTTGGCCTTGGCGATAGGGAAGGGAGGGGGGAAGCGGACCGAGCGCCGGCGAACGGGGTCCGAGGCTCCGTGGGTCCTCGGGTCGCATGTCCGGGACCGGGCGGTGCTTACTGGCCAACTAGCGCTCAAAGAGGCAAGAAGATGAACAAAAAGCCGTTGGGAAAGGGGACCGAGGCACGCGGCGAGTCAGTCTAGGGGATGTCGGTTCCGTTGGCCCGTGGGCTAAACACTGTAGTGCCGGTTTGGCAGCATGCTTTGTGCGACGATGCCTGTCCAGGGACGAAATACCGTATGCTGTACGCTGTTTGCTGTATATGCTGTATGCTGTATGTGCACAAGCGAAGCATGTCCCGTCAGTCTACGGGTATGCGTGTGTGCACAGATGCTCTCGGTCTGCCGGCATGGCCGTTTTACTCCCCCTGAAGCTCCCAAGGCCAAACCACTGCCTGCGAATGACCTCATGCACCACACACTCGCTCCCCCACGAACGCCCTCCTGGGAGGCTTAGCTCTTAGCCCCAATCACGGGGTAGGTAATACGTAGTCAAATGAAACGAAATGAGGGTATGCTGGCACTCGTGCTCTGCACCTGCTGGCAGACGAGGCGGACGTGAGAGGCTGAGCACCCCTGGCCACGCGACGACGGCGCTGGGTGGGGATGGGAAGAAAAGATGCGAGGCGTCAGTTTGGTTCCAGGGGTCTCGCGCCCTGGGCGTGCTTGTTGATTCCATGGTGAAGCGTGGGGTGGGTGGCCCTTGGCCCGGGAATCTCCACGCATCTCCGGGGAGAAAGGAGACAACAGAGGGCCCGTTTCTCAGCAAATTCGGGCAAAATCCTATGAGCGAGTGGTCCGCGGAACCCGCCACGGAAGAGGAGGGAGCCTCGTCGGACTTGGCTTGGCGACAAAAGAGGGCGCCGGAGAGGCCATGACGGCCAATGACGATGGCGATGAAACGGGAGCGTGCGCCGACGACGATCCCGTTCATCGGCCCTCTGTTTCTCTGCATGGACATGTGCACGAACCGTATGTGCGGTAACGTTCAATTGTCGTCAGCCAAGACCGCCTCGTTGCAAGGACTCTGTTGACACATCGGAGAGAGACTGGTCACATCCAACTTTGGATCCTGGGGCCTCGGGCCAAAGACGGGCGAGAGGAGCGAGATGAAGCGCCGTGGAAGCCGTTTTCTATTTTTCCCTTTTTTTATATTCTGGTTCTTTCATGCCCGGCGTTCCCCCGTCATCTTGCTCCGGGGAGTCACGTCATGCCTGCCATGTTGCTGGACTCGGCATGAGGTTGTTGCATTGCAAACCCGCCTTGCTTTCGATCGGCCAGATGCTACCATCCGGGCCTTTGTCTTACCCGGACTTGCAGTACTGTACACATGGGATTGTGAATACGCAGAGAGACCAGGAGGGAGAGACAGACAGGCGGCCTCGCAGCATCCCTGCCCAAGAGAGGGTCTGATTCTACCTAGGGCTGTCTGGGCCTAGGCTCTGCGAGAAAAGCAAAAGTCGAAACAGGGATGGCGGGCCTTGGCGGCTACCGCTCCGCCAACGTCATTGATTCGTCCATTGCCTGTCGGTGAGGCTGTCTTGTCGCCGTGCAGACCGGGCGCGGGCCCTCGGCGACCCGAGAGGCCCATTGCGGCGGCGTAGTCGTTGACGGAGCAATAGCCGGCCGGCGACTGACTCACCTTTTGTGCCTCGCGAGCAAAGAAGAGAGCCAAGTCACAGGTCAATCCAACTCGTGGGCGCTGGTTGGTTGATGGCCCATGTCTCCAACAGCGGAGGATGCCGTAGGGCTGGCCTGAAGGGGACGGACGGATGGGGCTCCAGTGGTTTCTTTCGACGACTGACAGGCATTCCCAGGCTTGCGATGCTTTCCCCAAAGAGGGGCAGCGAATAATAGCAGTACTATAACTATCCGTGGAGTACGGATAGGCCGGCTTCTTTCTCGAGATTTTACCCTTTTTGGTCTTTTTTTTTACGCCGCGGAGTATGTCAGGCCGAGAAGGTCAAAATGGCAGGGAGAGAGGCAGATTGGGGCCGCACGGACTGGCCAGATTGGCCCATTTCTCGTCGTCGACAGCAGGGTCCCCGGGCGGGGTCGGGGAGCGCAGGCGACGAGGACGAGTGATGGTTGAGGATGTTGGTGACGATGGTGACGATGGTGACGATGGTGACGATGGTGATGATGGCGTGATGCAGCCCGTCACGATGTCCCGGCCCCTTGTGCTCCAAAGTAAATCTCATGTGGTCAATCAATCTCTTGATGGCTTCACTTCGGCCATGGAACCCTACCGTCGATTCCGTGGGATGATTGGGCAAGGGAGATGCTGAGTAGATGCTTGATTCGTCCAAGCGAGAAAAACAAAGAGATAAAGCGACGCCCACCACGCTCTGGTGGCCTACCGGTATCCCCACCACCGACGTGGTGGTGGTGGAGGAGGAGGAGCACCCCCGGCCTGTTGTTATTTTTACTCGCGGCTGTGAGTGGACAGGGACGAGACGCTTGTCTCTGGCCGGACCATGTGCGTCATTGCAGGACATGGCATGGGGCATGGTTTTTGGGGACTCTCTCGCGCTCCCTCGCCCACTCACCCACGCACCCGCGCACCCACTCACCCACGCACCCACTCACTAGCCGTGAATCCATTCACCCCCAAGCCCTAGGTGCATTCATGCATTGCACACATACCTATAGCATGATAAGGGCCTTTGCCTTGCCCGTCTTGGGACCCCATTCCCCCGGACGCATCTGGACAGACATGGAAATCTGTGTGTGTTTTTAGGGCTTGGGTAGCTCAGGTGAGCGACGAGGTGGCGGTGCTGCCGCCCTGTCCAACCGCGCCAGCGATAGCGCTACCGGGAGGACGGCGACATTCACTGGCAGTGCGTGTCATGGCACACATGTATCTCCGTACCTGCCTTGGCCGTCAGCAAAGGGCGGCTCCTCACTTATCCGTCGGTACAGAGGCAGCCGTCCTCGCTGTGTGCCGCAGCCCTGTAGGTGGCCGTAGCTATACTTGCAGCAGCTGTATTCTCGCGACGAGAACTGTATCTTAGGCGGTAGATAAATACCTAGGTACCAAGTAAACAGACTCTCCCCGGTGCTGCATCTTCGGCACGAACGTCGACAAGTCTGCAAAGGCTGTGTGTACATATCCACCGATTCCCTCCAACAAGGCGGTCCCTTGGATTCTCGGATCACTAGATGCCGTCCAGCAATATCATGAATGCACGTATTGCTTTCTGGACCCATCCAAGTATTTTGCCCGGCAGAGATTCCATCGCCTCTCTGTAATCACCGGTACTCCTGACGGGGAGTGAGGGATTCAGACACGGTACCTTCCGCGCCATGTACAAGCGCCAGGCACCGGCGCTGAAAAATGCTTCCCGCTTCGGAGGTACAGCACATGGCCCATGCACGGGGGTAGCACCCAGGGCCAAGTATTCCTTGTTAGCATGTACTGTGTCCAGGCAGGGTGTGTGCCCGTGCTAGCAGCAGCAGCAAAGGTACTGAAGGTTCCCCCCCAGCATTTGTGCCCCAGGTGTAGCCGAGTGGCTCTCCATCTGTTAGTACCGGTACTGGGGCTTGTGTCATGCTGGGGGCCCACTTACCTTGGGTACTCGGCTAGGAGGGCTAACTACTCCGAAGTACCTTTGTATATCGCCCCCAGACGAAACAGGTACCTGCCTGGGGCTCAGGGCCTTGTGGGGGGTAGGGCCCCGCCCACTCTCGAGACCCCCTCCCCCCCCTTGACCCTGGCCCGTCTGGCTAGTCGCGTAGCGGCTTAGTGCGGGCAGGGAAACTGGGCCGACCTCAGGCGGTGGTTGTGGTGGCATGGTGGGTGGTGGATGGCGGATGATGGTGGTGGTGGTGCACTGAATGCTGCTGCTTTGCTGCTGCTCTTCTTACCAACTACGTACTGTAGGTTGGTACTTGGCTGCTGCTAATTCTGGACATCCATCCCTCTGTATTTAACAATCTCCATCCCCTCTTGCCTCTCTTCCCGCCCCCCTACCCCTAGACTCTGCCGCCTCCCCGGTCCAACATCTCAAATCTCATCTGCATCTCCAATCCCGTCCCAGCTGCACTCTCGCTCTTAGGAAGTCCTCGCTGACTCCTGTCATTCGCTTTGCGTTGTGTCTTTTCTGCCATTTGCAGCTACCCTTTTTTTACCTCTCTCTCTCGCTCTCCCCCTCCTGCCTACCGCCCGCCCGCCCGCCTCGGACATCTTTCCTCTCTCTCTCTCCGCCTCTCCCTCTCCACCAACCGTCCTCGGCCTCTTCGACTTCATTGCCTCGGAGTGGAGATTCTCTGTCTTGTCTTGTCCGCGCCGCGCTTGTGGGACGGACAGCTATCGGGAGGAAAAAGGAAAGAAGGAAAAAAAAAGAATCAGACCGAGGAGCCAGGACGACGCCAGACGGACCTTGACGGGTAAAAAGCCCCATCCAGAGACATCAGCTTCTTTTCTCGCCGCTCAACAACTTTCGTCCTCGCCCGACGACTGTATAAGACGAAGACGGCCCATGCCTTGACCACTCGCAGACATCTCATCTTCCACCACGACGCTCGCTTTTTCGAAACCCATCCGACCAAGCCTCGCTTCATTTTTTTTTCTCTTTTGCAGCAAGTGCCGGGCCATACTCTTGTCACCATTCACGATCGCTACCTGTGCCGACACCAGCCCGCGCCATACCGACTCGACCCCTTGATCTTCTTGGGACTGCGGACAGGCTCTTCGTTTTCCTGGCCGCATCTTGGCCATCCTCGACCTCTTTTGGGAGGCCTTCTTCCTCCCCCTCGCTCGCTACCGCCGCATCGCGGACTGTGCCTTCCCGTACGTCCCCCGTCTCTGCGCCACCAGAGTGCAGTCGCTGCGCCGTCTGTTCTCATCCAGCTGACGCGCCGTCTTCTACAGGTCCCTCGCTACACCTCCCATCCTTCGACATGGCTGGTCCCGGTGGCGGTCCTCCTCGCCGCAGGTTCGCTGCCTCTTGTCCCCTCGCACCCCCGCGTCTTTGGGTTGCTCAGCTGGCTAACCTGGCGGTATAACAGTCACACAAAGTCCCGCAAGGGTTGTGAAACCTGGTACGTTTTGACGAGCCCGTCCTCAGCTCGCCCGAGGCTGCGTTTCCATTTGTGCAGTCGCGTCTAACTGCCTTCTCGCAGCAAACGTCGTCACATTCGATGCGATGAAAACTTCCCGCAATGGTTAGCCTCGTCTTCTGCTGCCGCTTTTTCGCTGTTGGGCCTGTTGCCGGGACCTCGGCTGACCTGCCCCTTCCAACAGCCGCAACTGCACCAAGCACAAGATTCGCTGCCCCTACAACGACGTGCAGGTGCCCGACGCCGATCGCTCGACGACCCCGGACAAGCCCGACCTCATGTGGACGCCTCAGGTCGAGGCCGCCATTGCTGACTGGCAGTCCACGGGCATCTTCCCCTTCCCGTCCCTCGGCGCCTACCCGGCCCCCATGCCGCAGTTGTACTCGTACGAGGACCTTCGCCTCATCTACCACGTCGCCAGCCTCTATCACCAGCTTGCCTCGATTGACGCCAACAACTTCACGCTGTGGACCCGTCATGTTCCGACGTACGTGGACCCATCCCTGCTCCCCAAGCTGCACGTGCCGGCCGCCTTGTGTGACACGGCGTCTTGGCAACGAATCTCTCCTTGGCTAACCTTGTCTTGTCCATCAGTCTCCTCAGGATCGGGGCTACGACTCCATACGTCATGCATGCGCTGCTCGCCTTCTCTGCCATGCACATCGCCTTCCTCACTGACTGTCCCCTGGTCGGCAGCATGGCCTTTGAACATCGCGGCGTGGCCCTCAGCGGCCTGCACGAGGCCATTGGCTCCTTCTCTCGCGAGACCTCAGACGCCATCCTGGCAGCCTCGCTCGTGCTCTCCTGGCAAGCGACGGATTGGTAAGCTCATGGGCCCCTGCAGCCTGCTGCGCGTGCCCCGGTCAAACGCAACGCATCATGGCTAACATGCTCGACAGGCGCAGCTGGACCCAGCTAATGCAGGGGACCTCGACGGTACGTTGGGAGACGCCTGCTCAGATGCACGGGAATCGGGCCGATTTTCGGCGGCCTTGTGCGCCCTGGCGTGGGAAACTCGAATGCTGACTGTTCACCGCTAGGTCATCGACGCCATGGATGCGTGGAAGCACGAGTCTCAGTTTGGCGACTTCATCGGCGAGAGCAGCACCTTTCCCACGGCGCCGCCGTCGCCGGGCCCCGATCACCGGGCCAGCCAGCCGCGCGAGGAGGACATTCAAGCCTACCAGCGAACGCTCGAGCAGGTGCAAAAGGTCGAGGCTCATCTCAAGCGCAACAAGGAGGAGACGACGCAGATCCAACACCTCATCGGCTTCCTCAAGGGTGCCCGCAAGATCAGCCCCACGCTATCCATTGCCGCCCAGTACGAGCGCCTCCAGCCCCTGAGGACCTGGCTCTTCTGGATGCCCGTGGGCTACCTGCAGAACCATCACGGCTCCCCCAACTCGCTCGTCATCATCGCCCACCTCTACACGGTGGCCCTTGTCATGGAGCGCCTCTTCCCCGAGATTGGCGCCGCCTACTTTGGCAGCCTGTCCATCTCGCCCGTCGAGGAGATTGCCCGGCGTCTCATGTCCATCAGTGTCGCCGGCGGCGGCGACGGCCGCGTCCAGCAGCAGACGCCGCTCACCCTCATGGAGTTCCCCATCGACACGGTCAACGAGTTCCGCTCCCGCATGGGCTGGATCCACCCCGAGAGGACTCCTTCGTTCCCGCAGTTCAACCCGCCCAACTTCCCTGTCGCCGACGAGTTGGCCATGCCCGTCGCCAAGCAGCACTTCGCGCCCTACGGCAACCTGCCCTTCAGCTACAGCGCCGAGGAGCTGCCCATGCTCAACAGCGCCTCCATCCCCGGGCACAACCAGGCCTCGATCAGCCCGCTGCTGCTGTCGTCGCCGTTTCCGAACCAGCAATACCTGAGCATCCCGTCGCCGTCGTATGCTGGTGCGTACAGCCCGGCTTCGTCGACGCTCGAAGGCTCGGTCGCGTACAGCGATGCCGACGAGTGCGGGGTGTTTGCTCACACGGCCTATTCCTCTGGCCAGCCGTCCATGTTGAGCGAAGCGAATCGCAGCTACGGCGTCGGGTTCGTCACTCCCCACCAACCCGTGTGGATCTAAGGCCCCTTTGATGGCACCGAGCACTCGCGGCCAAGCCTCCGCTCGAGGAAGACGCAATCGGATTGACCCTTTTGTTCTCATCGTCCAGGAACTCGCCACGCGGCTCCATCACGCCCACGTACATAAAGTCGGAGGATCCAGCCGCCTTTGTGGGGGGGGCTTCTTCACCCTTCATTCAACACCTCGGCATACTCTCCGCCCCCGAGTCTCGGGTGTCAAGCAACGATGCGCACGTGCCCCGTCATCGCCACACAGCCTCTGTGTCTTCCTGCTGGCACCCCTCGTCTCCCCTGACGCAGGCTCCGCTGGTTCCACCCTCCGACGAGCTCACCCAGTCTGACGTGAAAGCGCGAAGGATAGGCTAGCGGGCCGGCTAGCTCAATACCCACTGCACATGGACGGCTAGCGTGTCTCTGCGCCTCACGTAATCTCGGTATCAGGGGTGCTGTTGATGCCGCGACTCGATGGCGCGAACTACGCTCCTTAACATGCTCACTACTCGAAGAATCGTTTGCAATACCTTGGGGAAAACATCGACAGCTCGAACCCGGTCGATGCCATCGCCCCCTATCCGATCCCACGCCACAACCCCTTTGGGGTACACGACACTCCTTTGACCCCGAGTTGACCTCGGGCGACGGTCCTTTCGAAATTCCACCTGCCATCGAAACTAATGTATTTGTTGAATACGCCACTATCCTTACGATGATGATACCCAACCATAACCTGACACTCCTTTTCGAATGATACCCGAAGCATAGACACTCCTTTACGATTTTTACGAAATAGATTTCACTCCTTACGGACCTACACATTGCAAAAAGTTTGCGAGGTTGGTGGCGACGGAAGCTTGTCCATTAGGAGGGGAAAACCACTTGGCTGGCGGAGGTGTCCAACGCGCCAAGAGACGCGCGTTTTTTATTAGCGTGGCGTTTGCACGGAACTCATGGGATAGCCGCTTTGATTTTTGTTCTACTTGTTTGTCGGACATGGACTGGAGTTGGATCTAATGTGTGGGGAAGGATGTCCAACGGTCCATCTGGACGGGGAAAAGCCGGGCCATCAGCTGTGCTCGGATGAAGGAACAGCGTTGGGTCTGGCGGGTGCCATGACTTTAACGAGCGCTTGGATTGTACTGGAGAGCCGTGCAGCTCGACGCATGTAATTTCTGCAGCTATCGGAACTGAGATCGGTCTTGGCTCCAGGTCTCTTGTCGCGCCGTGGACCACGTCTTGGACGGGGAGAATGGCGCCGTCTCCGGCTGTGAGAGTCGCCACGCCGCTGGCCAAGGCATTAATTATGTCTCTGAATATGACGACTGGGACACCAATTTTTCTTCTTGTCCTCTCGACCTATTAATTCACACCCTCCAAGTCATGAGGCGCCCGCCTCCTCCCTCTCCCCTCCCCCTTGGGGAAAATATCGCGGACAAGGACCCATGGAGGCGCTCGTCACCGCCTCGCCCCCTACGGCCCCGCGCATTTCTGCACTCGCCGCAAAGCCCGACAGGAAGCGCGCGCGCAGCCGGCGAATCAAGAGAGAGCGCGAGACACAGGGGGAGGAAACCAAAATAAAATAAAAAGGAACTTGAAAGGGACGTGGGCCATGCAGAGCTGTGGGTGTTTGAGTGTGTGAGTGTGTATATAACCAGGCCCGAGAGCTGCGACTAAACGACATGGAAGAAACAAGGGGGGCCCCAAGACTCGCATCCTGATGCTATACAAGAAAAAACTCCCAGACGCCTGCGCGAGAGACAAACATGGCATTACGTGCGTGAGCGAGCTGCACGGCCGGACCAAGCCAGACTCCATCCACCCATCTCCCCACGACCTCTCTCTCCTAGCTTTTCCGATACCCGCCCTTTTCCGTATCCTCGTGTGCGATGGCCAATCACCCTTCATTCCGCTGCATGGCTGCGACGTCGGTTCGTCTGTTCAGGGTACGTAGAGAATCGTCCAGTGGCACCTGCGCACGAATCCGATGGGCAGCCTTGGGCCCCGCTGCCCCGGCCGCGGCTACAGGTCCCCGCGCGGCGCGTCGTGCCTCGGCCTGTGCGAGCCCGCGCCGTCCCGCACGGCGTCGCTGTAGCTGGGCACGGGCGGATGCGGCGGGCCTTGACGCCGCGGGGCAGGAATCACCGTGGCCGATGACTCGGCCCGGCTCCGGTTCATGACCCTGATGAGGGGCGCATTCTCCTCGCTATCGGTGCTGCTCCTCGGGCTGTCCTCCTCGGCCGAATGGGTCGGGCTCGCGTAGTCCGGCGGGGGGTTTGTCGCGTCTTCGAGGTGCAGATGCAGGGGGTTGCTGTCATGTTCCTCGTCGCGGCGCCGCTCTGCCGCAGCACTGCCGCTGGCCTCGCCCACCTCGTCGTTGGGCACCAACTGGGCGAGCGAGATGTCAGTCGGGCTTCTGATGGGGCCGGGGCTCGTGGGAGGAAGCACTCTGAAGTTGCCGCTCCGCGAACGCCCGTGCTGCGCGTTCAGGTTGAAGCCGCCGTGGTGGGCGTGAAAGGGCGAGCCGCTGATCGACTGGCGATGCGAGTGGGCCTGGCCCGGCGCGGCCCCGTCCTTGGTACCCGTCTCGAGCAGGATGCTACCCTGCTCGGAGCCGTACGGCGGCGGCGGCGCAAGGCTGCCCGTGACGGGCGCCAGGCCCCATTTCTTGACGTTGGCCTCGATGAAGACGAAGCCCGACTGGCCCAGATTGACGTGCACAATCGCCGGTCCGTTGGCCCCGATGGCGGGGAAGAAGTTTGGCGCCTTGAGTCCGTGAACCACCTCCTCGAGCCTCTTGCCGTTTCGCGTGAAGAAGATGGCACCCGTCCGGGGCCTGTAGCCGACGCCGACGACGTCCCCCTGAACCAGCTGCGGCCCGTACGGCGTGCGGCTGAAAGGCTGGTTGTAGTGGCGAGAGCCGTTTGAGTGGTATGCGACGGAGTATTTGTGGTATCCTAGACAAGGCAGGTTAGACGGGCTCGAGACTGCGCCACCCAGGACGAAAGAATCCACTCACCGGGCAGCCGGAACAGCGGATAGGGTTTTGTGGCCATGCCAATGGCAAGCATGGTGTTTTCGGGCTTTTCGTAAATCTTGGCCTCCCAGTAGTATACATCGTTTTGCTTTGGAACGGGCAGATTGCTCATGACGGTACACTCGGAGTCGAAGAACTCGATTTCGGTGCGGGCCTCGACGAAGCAATTGGCGATTTCCAGCTCAGGCTCAAACTCCCAGGCAGAGACACCCTTTTCCTGGATGGCCAGGTACTGGGAAAGGGATATGTCGGTTTGCACGGACTCGGGGGGGTTGGCAGTGACAAAGGCTAGAGGGCGCCAGGGTTAGCGAATTACCGCAGAGGGGTCGGTTCAGCATGTCTCGTACCCTTTGCTCTGAGATACTCGGTGCGCGACATGTCATCCATGTTCTCGAGGGCCTCGGCCTCGTCCCTCGCAAAGGCCTGCTCATCGTCGTACTCGCCGGGGCGGCCCAGACGGTCGAGGAGAATGCGCCCGGAGCCGGCACATCCCGAAGCCCAGAAGATAAAGACGACGAGGGCTATGAGGATGATGGAGCCGAAGGAGGAGACGAGGCCGATGATGATGCCGGTGAAGGCGGACGAGGGAGCCCCAACGACTGCCATGGCGGTGTGGGCGCCGCAGCGGGAGCGGCGAACCGAGTCGGGGTCGGAGAGTAGGGGGCTTGGGACGGGCCGGCGTGACCGCCGCGACGGCTGCGGGAGGGCGACTATCGCTGCCGTCGCGGATCGAGGAATGGGGATCGATCAGACAGTGGCGAGAGGTCAAGTGGGTGGGCCCCGTGCGTCACTGGCGGGCGGCGGCGGAAGCGGTGATGCAGGTCGCTCGTTGCTGGGACGAGAGGGAAGACGGACGGCAGGCGGGAGGGAGAAGTGGCGAGGCGAGCGGTGGGAGGGCGTGGGAAAAGAGGAGGTTGTCGCGGCGGGAGTGAGTAGGTGATGTGTGATGACGAAGCAGCCAATGGAGGAGCAGCAGGCCACGGATGGGCAAAAGTCGAGTCGAAGAAAAGGCGAGAATGGCGCGAGCCGGTGAACAAAGGGACAAGGCGGAGAGTCGAAGATGCGACGGAGGGCACACCAAAAAAACCAAGGAGAAAGGAAGCCGAGAGGATGGATGCGAAGTAGAGTGAAGGATGCTGGCGAGCGGGTGGAGTTGGGAAGAGGAGGCGAAGGAGGGAGGAAAAAGCGGCGCGAGTAAGGCAGACGCACAGTGGAGCGGGTACCTCGAGGTACAGGCTGGCGGCGCGGTACTTGGGGAGGCCCCGGGGGCTGGTAGCGGTTGCGCGGGGGCTCAGGGCGCGGTGCTTAGTGCGTTGGCGGGGAAGCGCAGGTTCCTCGGGACCCGCCGGGGGAGGGCGCTGTCGATGATGGCGGCGCCCCAAGCAGCGAGTACTGCCTGGTAGACTTTGGCCCAAGGTACTTGTGCCGCGAGGTAAAATCATGCGGACGACACTGGACTTTGTTGGACGAAACTCTGCTGGCCAGACGTGCGGCTGGTAAGTTACAGTGCTGGGCGTTGATTGAGGTGCCTCGGAGGAGAGACAAGACTCGGTTGCCACGGAACCGCAAAAGAGGCCCAGAGGTCAAGGAGACGCAGTGTTTTACAGCACAGGCAAAAGGCCGGAGACGCCGCGCCGAGGAATTGAGCAGCCAACTAAGTCAAGGGCACCGCTGGTTCACGGAGGCGTCGTACTGTAACTTATCTGTGCGCCTGTTCGGGCCCTGCGCCTCATCCTTTTTGGTTTACTCAAAGCCCGAGGCTCATGTTCTTTGGCCTTTGTTCTCCCCGCCAGCCAGTTCCCGTCCCGTGTCCGCCTGCCTACCTATCTGCTGCCCGTTCGCCCGACCTACAGTGGCTGTACGTACTAAACTCCCCCCCCTGGCGCCCGCAACACCCAAGACCTGCAGCGCCCGCCGCCCGCGCCGTCAATGCAGCTGCGCAGTGCAGCGCAAGCGCGGCCTCGTTTCACCACGGCGCCCCCACCCAGTTTCAGCGTGCGTATTTGCGCTTTCCACCGCTCGCTTGCGCTGTCACCACTCTGTCTCCTTTTATACCCCCTATCTGTAGATTTCGCCTGGGCGTGGAGCCTTCTCCGCTAGTCTGACAGCGGGACATGCTGACCATTTATGGAGTTTCTTGCGCCGCCTTCTCCCTGCAGGTTTGACGAGGGCTCTCCCAATTACAAATTAAACCATGTGATTCGAGAGAGTAAGTTATAGGTTGCCAAGCCAGTCCCGAGAGCTTATCTTGCAGAACTCCCTTCCGTTCCCCCACCTGCAATGTGTCTGTCTACCGGTACTTCGTGTACGGTACGGATACCTGGGCTTCTTACTTTCAAGCTGTAGATACTGCCGCTGGTAGTGGGTACAGATACTTTGTCATGGCATTTACAAAAAGAATCCTCGGGGGATTCAGGGCCGCCATGCAAGGCGACGCCTGAGCCTCCCTGTGTGGGCTAATAATAAGTCATGCAATCTCTCCTCTGCCTTGCTGCACCCAGAGCTCTTATTCCAAGGCTCTTGTCATAAAGCATCTCATCAAAACAAGGGGGAGTCAATTCCCATTCTGCCTTCGTCGTCTAGAATTTGTGCTAAAAGTACTCGTCATCAATCTTGCAAGTCCATCAACATCCCCCCCTCCCCTCACGCCCACTCCCAATACCACCTGGGCTCTCGTCACCTCTTCATCCTCACCCTCTCCCGTCATAAGCGAGGCTGACAAAGCCGCCCATCAAACCTCCTCATCCCCCCCCCCCCGCCTATACCCCCCCCTCGCCCCCCTCTCCTCCCTCTCCCTCCGCCTCTCCCTCTCCCTCTCCTTGTCTCGCCCCGCATCCTTGCCGCCGCCGCCGCTGCCGCCCTCGTGCTCCCTCAGCTCCGGCATCGGGTGGTGATAGCTCTTGGTCCCCAGCTCGCTGCCGCCGCCGCTTCCCTCGAGCAGGCTCTCGCTCAGCGCGCTCTCCGCCCCGCCGGGCCGCTGGTAGCTGAAGTCGCGCCGCGCCGTCCGGCTCTCCTCGCGTAGCCGCCGCGCCTCGCTGCGGATCCGCTCCGTCTCCCGCTCCGACGGCACCGTCGTTGTCGAGTACACCTTGCGGATGGCAGGCTGCGGCTGCTGGGTGCTGCGCGTCGGCGTGCTCTGTCGGTTCGAGAGGAGGTCCGACGACGCGGCTGTGGACTCGGTCGCGTTGGTCGATCCGTCCCAGTTGGATCCTTCCGATTGCTTGTTCAGGCCGCCCACGCGCGCCGGCTTCTCGTGGCGGTAGCTGCGCAGCTGCTTTTGCGCCTCCTTCTCCGCCTTCTCGTCCATGACGCCCCCGTCCTCGCCGACATGCCGTCCTTCGCGCTGCTTCTTGTCGCCCCGCCGCTTGCGTCGTTCCCGCTCGCGCTCTCGCTCCCGCCGCGCTTGCTTGTGCTTGCGCTTCTCCCGGGCCACCACGTCGCTCGCGCCCGCCGTGACGCCGCTGAGGGCCGTGCTCTCCGTCACGACGGTGGTGCCGTCGTCCTCGCCCACGTCCTTGTAGACGCTGCCGCCGCCGAGGTCGGTGGTCGGGGTGGCGCCCGAGAGGATGGTGCCGTTGGGGCCCTTGCGGCGCAGGACCGTCGACTTGTAGTCGTCCCAGTCGTTGTCTTTAAAGTAGAAGCCGCCGTTCTTGGCCCAGAAGAAGAACCAGATGCCCGTGATGACAAAGGCCACGCCGATGAGGGCAAAGAGGACAAAGAAGCCGGCGTTGTTGATGTCGTGCGGGTCCAGCACCCCGTGCGGCTTGACCTTGCTGGGCTTGGCTTCATCGTCGCGAGCAAAGAGGCCGCTTGCCTCGAGGGCCGACGGCACCGTGGGAAGTACGCCCCGGAGGGAGAGCCGGCCGGCCGGAGCCATGGTATGCGGCCCAGGCGCTGGAATGCTTTCGTCTCGTCAGGGTCGAAGGGGGCTGCGGCTATGTGTGGATCGCGTTCCGATAGAGGTGCTCGGTTGTAAAGGAAGAAAAGGATGACCTCGGTCCCGCGAGGCTCGGTTTGTTGTGTCGTATGGTTCAGAGTCGAGACCCTTTCTCTCCATCGACGGGTTTGAAAGAAAGAGGAGAGAGGAAGAAGAGAGGAAGAAGAGAGAGGCCTCGACAGACGGAAAAGAAGGGTGCAACTGTTCCCCTAGAAACGGCGTGGCTGGGGAACTGCGGGGGTTGGTTGGCTGGTTTACAGGGCTTCTCTCCCCACCCACTTTGCCAGGAAGCTGCCCTCTCAATTTGTCCCCGTACGTCATGCGCGCAGCCTTTTGCCTAGAACACAAGCCAGGAAAATGCACGCACCCGGTCCCTCTCACGAGTCGACAGTCGTGCATCTTGCCTACGTTTTCCTGGCCTTTCATTTGCTCCCGTGCGCCAGCTGTCATCAAGCCACAAGCCCGCGGCGCACGTAAACAGAGCGTCCGCTGGCCCAGCAACCGGCTTCAGCTAGCTGCTGCACACACACACGCCCCCTCTCCACCGTCAGCCACGCCTCGTCAACGTCATAGCCCCCCCCCCGGTTGGGCCAAACAAACTCCCGTCACTTTTAAACTCCAGCGGCATACGGCACGTTTCAACGGCCCCTTGGCTTTCATGCCTCGCTCCTGCAGGAAAGCTTCAAACTCTCTTACGCCCCCATCTCGGGGCCGATAACTTTGTAGCAGGTACGAATACCCATCTCTCTACGAAGTACCTACACCCATCCGATCCGCGTCTCACGACGGACACCCGTCGCTGCTTCACGACGAGCCATTATTCTCAACACTGGCGACAGTGTCGGGACTGGATCATGTGCCCTTTGAAAAAGCCAATTATTAATCATCCGCACACCCGAGATAGCATGCCGTCTCGAGGTCCTCGCCCCCAAGCACACAAAAGTCCTCTTACAATATGCTGCGATGCCGTCTACGCACGGCACCAGGCCTTGCCTCCCCTTCTCCGGCCCTTGCAAGCCATTCTACTTCCACGGCATTACATCGTGTTTTTTGGCATCTGTCTTTTCTCGTTTGTGTCACATCTCCATCATCCTTCATCCTTCTCTCTCCCTAGGCCACAACCTAGGTCGCGTCTCCCGCTGCTGGCCCGCCCCCATCTCCGCCGGAATGATTCTCCAGACAAAAGACCCATTAGCCCAGACATGGTCAAGCCCCGCCGTCAACGTCGTGGACCCAGTGACATGTCCGTAGTCGCGTAGGCGGAGGCCGGCCTGCTGCAGTGAGAACGCCCCTGGAGGGTCAGAGAGTGCGGGGGCGCGAACCCCCATCGCCCCGTACAGTCTATATCGTGTCGAGCCGAGTGGAAATAAACAAGTCCGCCTCGCTCGCCCCGTCGAAGCGGCAGCGCCTCCGCGAATCTGCAAGTGCCGCAAGAGGACATCGCAAAGAATCAAAATAGGAAATGTATCAAGTCTTGAGCACTCGGCCTCCCGAAAAGTCCGACGAGGGTGGTGGGCATCAGCAGTGGATGCCTGCCACGCCTCCTCGACGACTAGGCAATCTGATCCGCGTCCATCCTGGAGTATCGAAATAAATCGGTGAAATGCTGCTGGAACAGGCGCCACAGATAGGCCGTGTCTGAAAGATAAACACAGCCGAGACGGTCTTCAATGTTCCAGACAAGCCTCCCGATGCCGCTGTTTGAGAGAGGAGTTAACCCCCTTTTTTTGGTATTTGTCTCTTGGCCCGGCCATTTCGAAGGGAAAAGGTAAACCAACTTCTAGCACATCCACGGGTGCGAGGAGAAGAATCCAAGTAAAAACATCAACGCTTGCTTCCATAAGTTGGCTTGCCGGGTGTAAAGGTCGAGGGCGAAAGAGCCGGGCGTAGTCCAAGGAAATGACCCTAGATATAGATAAAAGCAATCGTAAAGAAATCCGCCAGACGTGTCTCGTAATCGTAAAAAAAAATTCCATCATCCGTCGTCCAGTCTTGTCCGTCGTCAAAAGTAGTTTCCGCCGGCAAAGGCCGGTTCGTAAGGCGCATAGGTCGGCGCATACCCGCGGCTCTGCGAGTCTGCCTGGCTCGGGGCGCGCGGGCGGTGCGGTAGGGCCTTGCGCTCCATGCGCATGGGTGGGTCTTCGAGTCGGCGCGGGTCTTCGTGGTGGCGCCCGTCGCCGATTCGCCGCGAGTCCTCGAGTTGTGGGAAGACGGTGCTGGCTCTGTCGCTGCCTGCGCGCGAGCCCGCCGCGCGGCTTGACCAGGTGATCTCGCCCCCCTCGTTGCTGCACTCAATCTCGGCCCCCCCCTGCAGCCGGACGACCGAGTTGCCGGGCACCTTGATGGTGAACTCGTCGTTTCCGTACGAGGACCGCGTGATGCCCGTCGTGTTGCTGCGCCGGTACTCGCTGTCGTCTCGGCTTCCGCTGCTGCGCGTGGATTGGCTGCTGGGCACGCCGCCGCGCCTCATCACCTTGCGCAGCGTCTCGGCCGTCAGGGGCACCTGGGAGCCCCCGTTGACGTCGTCCTGATACTTGAGGGCGGCGTTGAGCTTGCTGTCCCCGAGGCTCACGCCCCCAGGGCCGGGGCCGTACATGGAAGCCCGCCGGGCACGTCCGGCGGCCGGGACAAGGTCGTAGTCGGGCTGCTCGTACACGACAGATGCCCGCCTCTGGCGGGAGACGACAGCCCGCCGTTGGTCGTACGACGCATTGGGAGATATGTCGTGGAACAAGCCCTGGTCTGGGTCGTCGCCCAGGGAGGCCTCGGAGGACGAGTCGTCGTACGTGACGTCTTCGTACCCGGCCGACCTCCGTTGCAGGGGCGGCGGGCGCGACTGGTTCTGGCGGGACGGCGGGCGTTGGATCGGTGGCGGCCGGAAGGACGTGGTGGGGGGCAGCGCCGACTGGGGCCTCTTGGGGATGTAGCTCGGGGGCGGCATGCGCATGGCGTCTTGGTCGGCCCGTTTGGTGCGTGAGAGCCGACGTGAGACGCGGGGGGGCGGCTCGTCCGAGAAGTCGTCCTGGCGGGAGTCGTGGGCGGGGGGACCGCGGAAGCCCAGGGCAGACGAGGGCCGGGACTCGAGCCGGGACTCGAATCGGTGCTTCAGGCGGCTGTGGGGGCTCGAGCCCAGGGCAGACGAATCCAGGTAGCCAGGGGGCGGCTGCCCGACAGGCGATGGCGGAGGAGGGCCAAAGCCGGGGGTTGGGGGGCCGGCGCCGGACCACAGGGGTGGGGGCGGGAAGCTGCCGACGGGAAACGGGCCTCCGGGGTTGGGCCCACCTGGAGGCCAACCCGGTCCCACCATGGGCGGCCCAGGTGGCTGGCCGGCGTAGTAGCTGACGGGCCGTGTCTGGGCTCGGGGCCGAGTGCCCGAGGCAGCCGGCTGCCTGACGCCGTAAAAGGCCGGGTGCTCGACACGGCCCCTCACGTAGCCACCAGGCTGCTGCTGGACGACTGGCATCGAGAGGGAGTGCTTGGAGGGGGGCGGCCTGGAGTTTCTGGGGGCGGAGCTGGCGTCTCGATGCTTGGGCGGCGCGGCCGACTCGTTTCTGGCGCGGCGCGGACGAGCCTCGTCTTCCCTGGGCCTCCGCTCGCGTCGCTTCGGGTCGCGCTGGCTCGTGTCGGAGGGCTCCCTCCGCGGCGGACGCACGGCTTCCTTGCTCCTCTTCTCCGAGGAGCGGGCCGTCGAGTCGGAGTCTGTGAGGCCGGCGCCAGCAGACGACGACGTGGACCTAGAGAGGGCGTGGCTCCTGTCGGCGCGTGACTTGCTCGTGTTGGGGCGCTCCTTGGCCGGGGCCTCGGACATGGCGTACTTGCGGGTGCTCGAGATGCCTTCGACGGCGTCTTCGTCGGCGGCATCCTCGACGTGGGCGACGAGGGAGCTCCTCTTGGAGCTGTTTGACATTTTGAATAGACACCAAGGCGACGGAGGCCGTTGGGGGGGGGAGGGTTAAGAGGGGGCAGTGCGTGTGCCCTCGTCAGCACGGCCGGGGAGAGGGGGGGAGGATGAAAGAGGGCGGATTGATGATGGATTGGATTGCAACGCTCGCTAGCGGAATTATGCGGGTTGCGATTTTGTTCTGGGCGGGCGGCGGTGGAGAGCGAACGGTGGGGGAGGGACGTTTCGATCGGCGCCAGTGAGTTTTTCCTGGTCGGTAGGTGGTAGGTACTAGTGACTTGTCCAAGGTACCTGTAAGTGCCGCAAAGGGCATGTACCACTTCCCACTGGGCGGAGGAGAGGGGAAAGATGACCAGACGAGACCGAGACAAGCCAGCTCTGGAAGCCAGAGAAGGAAAAAGGGTAAAGGGGATGGCTCCGGGTGGGAGAAGGAGGAGGGAGGAGGGAGAGAGAGAGGATGAGGTGGGGGAGGAGAGACACCGTCCAGGGCGTCAACGGTCGACGGCACGGCGTGGCCAGGGAGTCGTCGGATAAGCAGCGTCGAATGGTGAAGCGGCCGATGAGTAAAGGCCACGGTGAGGAGGAAGCAAGGGGCGGCGATGGGAGTGGTGGTGGTGAAGATGGCGATGGCGATGGCGATGGCGATGGAGATGGTGGCCCGGGGTCGATTCGACGCGCGACAACAGCTGACGGCCAGAAACGCGAGGAGTCATGATGGAACTGGCAGAGGGCGGTCGGCCGGCGGGCCCTGAGGCAGCGAACGAGGTTTTATTAATTTAGTCGGCAAGGCGCTTTCGCTCACTCTGTCTATCTATGTCTCTGCCCCCCCCTGGACTGGCTCCCCCCCCCCGGTCCAGCTTGTTTGGTTGCAGCTCCCATTCATCACCACGCACCTCGCACACGCCCCCCCCTCCTTTTGCCGGCCAGCCAATACATGGGCGTCCCAGACAGACAGCCAGAGAGAGGTGCAACCCGAGGAGGCCGCTACAAGCCAAATTAGACGCGACGTCGATGGCAATCCAGCCAGCGAAGCGGTTTTCCAAGGTGAGAAAAGAGAGGGAGGAGGAGGAGGAGGGGCGAGGGGGTGAAGCCAAGGGGGCTATACTTTGTACAAAAGTATATCGACACGTCCAGCTCTGCCAGCGCACTCGGTAGAAGCATCGCGTACTTGCTGTCATCCTACATTGTGCTCTCTTTGACCTGTGTCCGTATCTGCTTACAAAACACGGAGCAGGAGAAACAGAGTGGACGGTGCGACTTGGCGACAAGGCTACGTGCGACGCTCTCGGCCATGCCAAGCACCACCGATCGCCAGGCTGCAAAGACGGAGATGGATGGGGTGCGTGTCAAAAGGACGGGCGTCTCCGAATCATGGGCAGGAAAGAGGCGGCAGTGGTGGCATCGGCTAGCAGGGGGCAGGCTGGATGGGCTCTTGGGTTTCTTCGGGGGGGCTCTGGGTCTCGGGATGTACCTGCTCGGCCATCTCACAGGTTTTCGTAAAAGAGCAAATCTCAGTGCAGACTGCAGAGGCATCCTGATGCTGGAGGGCAGCAGCAAGTACAGTCCTTACACGGTGCAGCCATGTGTCGGTGGAATGCCGCCGTACCGTGCGCCAGACACTCACCAAAGACAGCCAGCTGGACCCTTGGAGACGGACGTTTACAGATATATCGCGGGAAAAAAAAGGAGGCTCCCAACAAGCACCGCAAAAGGACAGCGCAGCGTCGCTTGACTCATCCACCTGCCATTACTCACTCACCTCGCTCTCTGCTGCACATTGTCCGGGCCAATAACTCGAGCATAATGACCGGTGCTTGCGCCCAACTGTGGAGCTCGTGGTGGCTCGTCTCTACCCGCCGCCGCCCTCCCGTCGGGCCCGCTAAGTTATTTGCAATTACTACCTAGGTAGGTGCTAACCTAGGTACATCCAGCAGGTAGGCACCTAAGGTAAGGTACCTAGCAGTAACACCCACCGTCGTCGGTACGGTAGGTACCTGCCCAAGCAGCCCTGCCGCACGACAGGTACAGTACGGAGTACGTGATTACCTCGTCCATCTTCAGGGCGCCTCACCTGTCATGGCCGTTTTATTTTTATTATTCCTCGCATTCGCCATGAGCCTGGCCGGAATCAAAGGCGTCAACCCTCTCTGCAGTATTCTTCCTGTAGCACCCCAAAAAAACAGCATCCACGTAGCGAACGCCCTCGGGCACACGACAAAACTTGACCGCACCTCTGTGATATCGCGTTGCTCGGTTGAGCATTCCCGACCACAGGGGCGGCCATCTGCGTCTCACGCGCAGCTCAATGGATCGGATTGAAAGAAAAATCTGAATCTGAAACCAGAGCTTTGGGTTCCGCTGCTGCGGGCACGGGGCGCTCGTTGGGCCTTTTCCTGCATGTTGGCGACCTGACGAACGAGCCTTATAACGCCTAGAGATTGTTGCCTTGTCCCGGCTATTCGTCAACATGGCGAAGCCGGATGCGTCATGGCCTCAAAGCCATCCAGCTGTCCCAAGCTGACCAGGTGCCCGATCCCATCTACTGGTGAATTCATCTCATGCAGGCAGCTCAGTCGCTGGAAGCATCCCATATATACAAGGTAGCCATGATCCGTCGGCGACCTTGTCATAAGTAGGACCTGAAAGGCCAGGCGCTCCATCCATCTCCATCCCTCGCCTCTTCCTTCCACGGTGCCTGTATCTGCTTCAATTGTCGGCGCAAATTTAGCATAGCCTCGCAAGCCCTGCCCCCCCCAACGCTTTCTTCTCTGCACTTTGTCTCTGCACTTTGCCCTGCCCAATCAGTCTTCTCCCCGTGGCGGCAGTTGGGTATCAACTTTGGCACGTTCCCCCCCTCCCCCTCCAACGCATCATGTCTTTTTTTTCCTCCTCCTCCTCCTCCTCCTCCTCCTCCTCCTCTCCAACAAACTTTGACTCACGGCCTTTTTCGGGGCGCGGGCTCCCGCCGACTATGTGAGCAGCAGGGCCGGAGCGCCGAGGGGGGTGGGGGCCGGCGAGGAAGGGGGGCGCACGAGACGACGACGTGTTCGCTCTTCACCCCCTCCCTACCAAGTAGACCCCCCTTTTTATACTCGAGTACTCTACTGTGCCTACACAGTATGAGAGTCGGCCGGCGGCCGTGGGTGGCGACGAGCGGGGGGGCTCGAGGCCTTGTGATGGGCGCCGCCAAGAGAGAGAGACAGACGGGTGCCAGGCCTTTCGTCATGGTGCTCGACAGCGCCCCAATCGTCAACCAGGCCGGACCCCCTTTGTCGTCATGCACGCGGCTGCTCGAGTAATCAATCCATGACAATAGAGCGAGGCCCCGTCTGGCGAGCGAGCGGCCAGGCTTCGTCGTTCGTTGCTGGTCAAGGTCCAGAGCCAGGGTCATACAGGGTCATACATACATTGGACAGTCGGTCCTGTACAACAAGCACTGCGGTAGAGGCTGCAACCTCCCGGTTCGGCACGTCAAGTGTGGCCCCTGACGGACTCGATCCGAGCAAAGAATGGGCCTTTGGTGGCACATACACAGTCTTGACGTCGACTATGTATTCCTCGACTTACACTGATGCGGTTGGTTCAACAAACGTCAAAGCATTGTGAGACTGGCCTCTGCTATGCCTCAGAAAAAGGAAAAAAGGAATACCATTCATCGTGCAATAAACCCCGGCTGCGGGAAAGAGGAGCAGCGAGGAACAAGCTCAACATTCTTGCGAACCAAGCTTCATCAACTCGGCATCTCGATAGCGGCAGATCCAACTCACCCGGCTGCGCAAGCAGGCAGCAGCCATGTCGATTGTGCACATGCGGCCATGTGCCTTATGCACGTCAAAGGGAGATTCATGCCCGCAATGCCGAGCCTGTTTGGCGAGCATCCCCCGGGCCATGGAACGCACCCTCACGATGCTCCTCGCCGTCTCCATGCTTGCCCGCTCTCCCTTGCAGGCGCCACTTGAGCGTCACGAACCTCCAGGCTCGCCGAGGCAAAGAATTGTCTCAACGCCCCTCCGTGCTGCTGCGGCGCGACCCTGTATCGCTGGCTAGACAGCTGGCCCGTGTTTCTGGCCCCAGAGACGTGTGCCGAGTGTCTCGTTCAAGTATCTGGATGTCCTCCCTCTTCGTACACGGGTGTGTCTTGTAATCCACAAGGGAGGGTATAAGCCAAAGGCATCCTCTCGGCTCGTGGCCCTCGTCAACCAAGCAAGTCGGGTCGTATTGCAACCCCTTCGTCCTCCTCCTTCTCCTTCTCCTCCTCCTCCTCCACCACCACCGCCACCCTCCATCTACAGTATAAACGAGCATGCACCTACTTGCTCCCATGGTTACTCAAGAACCCTCACGCAGACGACGAATTCGGTCAGTCCATGCCTATTGATTGGGCGGGCTCCCCTCCCGTCGTGCGCCCCCTCCGCCTTTCTCCCTGCCGTGTCCCGCGATCCAGGTCATGCACACACACTTTGCTTTCCGGGGTCCTGTAGAACCTTGAGAGCCAGGGAAGCAGAATCCCCCTTTGCTGTGGACATCGTGCAAGGCTGCCGACTGTGTTGAGTGAGCGTGTGCCGCGTCTTGGTGGCAGACCGTCGTCAGCCAACCAACACACTCGGAGCCTTGCTTTCTGATATCCGGCATCGACCACGGCTCGATTGCTCTGCCACACATGGAGCAATTCGCCAGTCATGGCCCGGGCCTCGTCGTCTCCAATCACAGAATCCCGTCGGCTGCCGGGCCAAGGCGCAGGACCGTGTGGCCCGATGCGGCACGCGCCGTCAACGACCCCAATCGCCATGCCGTTTTTCTGTTGGCCTATATCTGCCCCATGAGGTCGGTGCAGCTTCGCCGTTTCTGTCATGGCTGTCCTACCCTTCTCGTGACACTGGCTTTCCATCACCTCTCAGTTGCCTTCTGCCTACCACTGTTACATCGTCATTGATCAAGGTCATTGCCACCATGATGAACATGGACTGCCCATGTCCGGCTCGCAACAGGACGCATCCCACGACTCTGCCGCCCCACACACCGCCATTTCCAACCCCTCCCATTGCCGAGTCTCCAGATTCCCCATGCATCTCATGGCCTCACTCCCGTCCGCGAAACCTCGCTAGCCCTTCATGTCGGTGCCAGAACTGACCGTAGCGTGCGTGCCAAATGTGGGGTACACCACCTCCCCGGATAGAAGCGTCAATATGCCTCGCAAGGGGGACGGGGCGGCATGTGGGGTTTGCCGAGCCGCAAGAGTAGTCACGAAAGCTTCCCGCGACGCACTGCTTTTTCCCGTGGTGCGGGAGCCGTCACAAAGTTGTGTGCCATGTCACCACTCCAGCTTGTTGTGCAACTTCGATTGCGATCCGTGGAGCGATCGCAGGTCTGGGCTGACCGTGTACATGCTATGTGTGCTTGTCGAAACAGGAATCTGCCCGTCCGTGAGCTTGTCTGGCACCGGGCGCCGAGGCCCGGTGCGGGGAGTCGGGTGAGCGGTTCCGAGTCATGGCATCCGATCCCTCGGGTGGCCATCAGGCAGCGGCGATTCGAGCATCGCATCACGGGCTACGGCCCGCTGCGCTCGGCAATCTTGGCTAGATCTCACGAATGACGAGGCGACACAAGCGAGCGTCGTCATGGCCACGACGCGTCCGTCGTCCCGGCTTACACCACCTCCTCGCCCCTCGACCCCCAGCATTGGCTAGATTTTGACGTCAAGATCGGCCACGACAGGCCGATGGTCTGACAGGAGAAGCCGATCGTCGAAGCTGTTGTCCAGCACACCAAACGTGTTGATGGTGGCCGTGCGAGGCTCCTGGATGAAGAGAAAGTCGATGAGCAGGGGCGGCTCGTTGGGCTCGCCGAAGCTCGTGTAAGTCAGGTTGTTCCCGTAATGCTTCTCCTTGGGCACCAGATTGGCAATGTCGGACATGCCCGACCCTGGCGCCGTCATGACCTTGTAGGCCTCCTCGTCGGGCGGGCTATTAAAGTCGCCGGCGACCAAGACGGCTGACGGCGGCGCCGTTACCCCATCGCCCGCACCCCACTCCTTTGCAAACTTGATGAGCAGCTTGGCGCTCTCTGTCCGCGCGCGGTAGCCGACATGGTCAAAGTGTGTGTTCATGACGACGACGCTGGTGCCCGTCTCGTTGTGCAAGAACTCGCCCATGGTGACGATTCGGCTGAAGGCGGCATCCCAGCCGCGAGAGGGCACCTCGGGCGTCGGGCTGAGCCAGCGCGTCTGGCTCCGCGTGCACTTCCACGTGTCTGAGCGATAAAAGATGGGCGAGTACTCGCCGTCTGCCTCGCCCTCCTCGCGGCCGCGGCCAATAAAGGCCCACGAGGGCCCCAGCTCGGCTTGGACATCGTTGACCTGCGCATGGAGGGCCTCCTGCAGACACAGGAAGGGGTTCTCGTGGCCCGTGGTGATGAAGCGCACCTGGTTGCAGAGCTTTGGGCAGCGGATCGTCCAGGGCTTTTCATCGGCCACCTGCTTCTCCGTGGCGTACCTGATGTTGTAGGTGATGATGCGCATGGGCATCGAGGCAGAGCGGGGTGCCATATCCTTGTCCACGGGCGTCAGGACCACCTGGGCCGCGTTGTCTGGCTGAAAATCGAAATTTGCCGCTTGTTGGGGCGGGCGGTCGAGCTGTGCGCGGAGGGAAAAGCTGCCGCTGCGCCAGGCGAGAAGCAGGCAGAAGAGCAGAGCGGCGGCGAGAACGAGATGGAACTGCGGCGAGGATCGTGCCGCGCGCCTCTTGGCAGTGAAACTGTCTCGCTCCATCGGGTCTCTGACCAGGGGGGGCCCAACACAGATATTATCGCCTACAGCAGTAACTTACGGATGTGAGTAGGTAATAATAATAGAGGGGCGATGAAGACTGGGAGGGGAGTGGATCGCCAGCCGCCTCAGTCACGTGGTTCCCCCTGGTTGGGGACAGCTTTTCCGTCTGCCGCCACGGTCAAGGTTTTCTCTGGGATGAACCTTGTTATAACCAACTCCCGCCGGCTCGTCGGGTATCCGTGTCGTCAGTGCCCAGCAGCGATAGGATCCGTTTCCTCCCGAGTTCCGGCACATCGTTTCAGCTTCGATTGGCGTTTTCTCGAACAGGCAGCCCGGCATTGCAAAGGGCGGCGAGCTGAGTGGTCCAAAACTTTGTAATCAAGAACCCCCCGTCAGACCAGCAAGCCATGTATGCATACGAGGCACGCTGCTCCTTGGGGCATGGCAGCTCTGTGCCGGCAGATGAGAGGAGACTGCCCCAGCGGCAGATGACTGACTGCCTGGTGTCTCCAGTCGCCGAGTTGCAACGGTGGTGTTGGGACTGCGCGGTCATGCTATCCAGACGACAACGACCCGAGACCGAGACACCTTGGCGCATGTGCCACGCTCGTGCTGAGAGAGCTCTTGTTCCGCCGCCAATATTCACCCAGCTGCACACCCATTTACGAGCGGGTGTTCCTAGGAGGGCCGGCGCGTGATCGAGGCGCCGTGTCTATTGACTCGGAGCAGGTCTGCAGTGGCTCTGGGTCACAGCCAGATTCTCCTTCCTGCTTCTCTGGCTTGCCATTTACTCCCTAGAGTCATCCATGAGATGGTGTCGAGCCGCGCTTCGGGGCTCGCAAAGCCATCAGCTGGGGCGCGTTTCCCCCGTCGCGGCAGCGTGGCGTCTTCTCAAGGCGAGGCTGATGCTGCTGGTGAGTCAAAGGCGCAGTCCATGGGCGCCGGAGCAAACGTCTCCCGTCGCCAGCAGCTCTAGCTATTCAGCTTGGCACTTTCGACCACGTTCGGTGGTCACTCTGGGCAGGTTACACTGTTGTGTCCCGCTCTGGCAAGCCATGGACGGCCTGGCTCGAAATCTGATGACCCTCGCGTGCCATTTGGGATCATATCAATACTTGCAAGGCCAAGGGCGTGGTTCGGCCGGTTGACGCGCCGCCGCCGCCCTCGGGATGCACAATGCAAGGCACCGTGCATCCATCTCGAGGCGCAACATGCGGTTTCACGGCCTGGAAAGCTTCCGGTCCAACAGGATATGCTTGATACAAATCGCCAGATCATGCAGATGGGATTCTCGTTGTGCGCACATGGGCTTGGTCAAACCCCCCGGCCTTGTCGTGCCGGCATTCGCTGCCATGGCCACGAGCTGCCGGGACCACCATGGGGAACTGTCAGATGCTCAACTTTGGCTTTCCGCATTTGCGTCGTGATGGTGTCCCGAGTCTCAGCTTACGAGCCCGCTCAAGAGCTAGGAGCCGGCCAAGTTCAGGCTTTCGTCAGCCTCCCAGGCCATGATTCATCCTCCCCACCACCCTAGGCTCCCGCCCGTCGCCGCCGCCGGCAGGTTTCGCTATCCTGCGCCATGCAGCCTCGCCGCGGCCTCACGTTGGCTTCTGCAGTTGGCAGCACCGGGAGACCCATGACTTGGGGCAGACGGGACGACAGAAGTCGGCATGGCGTAGGGCACCGTCTTTTGGAGGGTGGCCGCCGATCCCTGATAGGCCGCTTCATGTGGGCGCAGCACCCTTGCTTGGCTGCCTATCTGCACGACACCCACCTCGAGAACTCACAAGGCCACCCTTTTGGGCGATGTGACTAAGACGACGAGCAGCCAAGTTGACACAAGGCGTACGCGAGAGCGGAAATGATGGGTGTGGAGGCCTACCGGAGATGGGACGGCGGCGAGCGCTGCATCGTGCATACGTGAGCTATATATATGACGCCACGCCGCCCTTTCTCCCTCGGTGCTCGAAGCCTCTTGGAGCTCTAGGCTTGATGTCGAAATCATCAGGTTCCTCAGACTGGAACAGTTCCAACGCTGAGGGATACTCAAACACCAATACACAGCAGCCGGGCACATACAGACACTATGCCTGCAGAGTCAAGCGTCTGGTCTCGTCGAGACTCGTGGCCACCGACCCAGGTGCGGCTGAACCCGTCCATGTCCAAGGCGAGCAGCGACCCCAGGCCGCTCCTCGAGGACATTGATGACAACCCTCTCACCTACTTCCTCACCCCGGGCAACGACATGGGCGACGTTGGATATGAGGACATGGTCTATGATGCCGGCATCGAAGACTCGAGCCAGCCCCGCGACATTGTGCGCAGCGTGAGCCCATCGAGCCTCGAGGGCCTCGGCAATCCCAAGGCGCGTGCCGCGTCCCCGGAACTGGACTCGGACGGCCTCACCACCGACGAGGACGACGACGAGGACTACGTGCGCTTCTCGCCCGGCAGCCCGTCGCGCCTTGCATCGCTGCGAAACATTGCCATTGACGGCCTCAGGCTACGCACCATGAGCCCCGTGCACGGGCGTGCCGCGGACGGCCTCTTGTCGCCAGCGTCTTACCCGGCCGCACGGACTCGTGGCAGGAGCTCGGCGCGGACTCAGCGGGTGGGCCAGGCGAGAAGCATGTCGGCCCGCCCACGTCCAGGGCGGCTGTGGCGGGAGCCGAGCCCGGATGTGTGGTCCATTGAGGAGGAGACGGAGGAGGAGATGATGAGGAGCCAGACGGACGGCGAGGGGGATGGAAGCGGCACGGGAAGTAATGGAGCGACGCTAAAGAAGACGGCTGCGAGGCCGAAGAAGAGGGTGCGATTCCTGCTTCCGGCGCGGGAGTAGCTGACCTGTTTGAGGGAGACTCTTGTCTTCCTTTGGTCTTGGATCTGTGGGGTCTAGGTAGGATGCTTTTGGGCTATGCATATGGCGGTGTTGGCGTCATGATGTGTTTTTGCATTGGAAGGTGTTACGGTGACTTACTGTGGGGGCTATAAGTTATTACCTACTTAATACTCGAGGCAACAAAGTGTACAGGCTGGGGGAGGGCTTTGCTTGGATTGGCTGTACTTAATACCAGGACGGCTTCTACTCATCCAAGCCTTTCCTCGAACCTACCGTGATTGCATTGAGGAGGTGTCGCACTGCCGCCCCGTGTAAGTGGCCGAGGACTCTAGGGTAGATGAAGCTTTGCATGGTCTTGGAAGTCACTGTACAGTACCTACCAGCAGCAGCAGGGTGGGCACATGGAACGTGATTCTGCAGAGGCGTCGGGTGCAGGGATGGAGGAGATGGTGTGGGTGGATGCGGCGGGGAAACATGACCCGGTGGGATGGGATCAGCTGGACTGTGTGCGTGTGTGTGTGTGTGTGTCTGTGTAAGTGAGTGCGAGTGTGTGTGTCGGTAAATTACATGTCTCGTCTGTCTGCCATGGCGTAGACTCTTGTTCGTCCCGAGCCGCCGCGGACGCATTCCTGCCCGTGTCGAGATGTACGGGTGTTTTGGAAAATTCTCCGGACCGGTTGATTTGCTGGGGGGAGAGTTGAGCGTTGACTGAGTTAGTGTTAGCCGGTGACAGCGACCCATGGGCAAGGAGGAGAAGGCATGACGACGAGGTCATCTCGGGCGTCGTTGGAATTGCCATGGGGCGAAGAGGAGGCGGGCGAAGAGGAGGCGGGCGAACGGGGCTGTTGGCGGCAGGTCCCGTGACGGCACAGGGTCGGGAAAATGGTGGCGCGCTAGGTATCGTGGTCGGGTAGGTTAGATGGGTAGGTTAGATGGGTAGGTTATTGGGTAGGTTATTGGGTAGGTGAGTTGGCCAGGTAGGAGGAGGTATGGAGAGCCGGACATTTTCCCCTCGCACGAACACTGGGGTGTCTATCCTCTCACGCGGTGTTGGTCAGGTTCCAGGAAAACGGTCCGGCTGTGGCGGCAGGCGGGAGGGAGCAAGAAAGGGAAGGGGGCCGAGACAAGCATGGGGCGCTGGGGGGCGTAGATGCTATAATTACCTTGCACAGACAGCTTGCACGTGGATGATTTGTAGTTTGCAGTCAAGAAAGATGGTCACGGCACTGACGAGGCTGGCAAAAAGATGACGACACGGGCGGGCCGGCCGAATGTGACGGGCAACGGATGGACACTTGCTTGCCGTGCCGATACAGCGATACAGCTCGTGAAACGCCAATAAGTGACGAGTCACAAGAGGCTTAACAGGAAAGGCGAGTGCCGTGTCTTGTGCCAAGCATGCACGCCATATGAGGTACAGCGCAGAACAGTACAGTGCAGTACAGTACGCGGAACAGACGGCCCAGCTGCTCCGTCTCTCCTCCCCATCCGTCGGTAGCCACCCGCTAGCAGTGGTTGGTTGAAAAGAGAGAGAGAGAGAGAGAGAGCTGCGCTTTGTAGAGAAAGTAGAGGAGGTGAAAGGAGATTCTTGCGATGCCAGCAGGTATGGAAGGGAGGTGCTTATTGATATACTTCTACTCCGGGTGGCGAGCATCTGCACGCAAGAGCCGGGGCCCGCAGCGGAGCTTTGCTTGGCGAGACGAAGCATCCACGGGCCTCACCAGGACGTACGTACCGGTACTGTACTTGTACTGTACATACATACTTAGGTACTACGTGGATTTTCTTGCAGGCAGCTTGAGGCCTTTTTTTTGGTGCGACCCGCGATGCGCGCCTTGCTTGGTCCTTGGTTCTCTCGCCCGGAAGCTCGTACTCGTGTGTGGGTGGCCCGACTCGTTGGTTACGGGCGGGACGACATTGACGGATAGTTACTGTACATGCTGGCTACACGGCTGGACAGCCGCTGCACAGACAAGCGTTGGTACCTCGCATGGGCCCCCCACCCGCTGGCATGTACAGCAGAGGTACCTGGGTTCCACGACCGTTCTGTTGTTTACCTTGGCAAGTTCAGCCCAAAAGAGGCGCCTTTGTTGGTTACTGCGGTATCCGCTAGACTCAAGCCACTCCAGGGTCTCAAGCTCCAGGTCCGGCCCCCAAACCACCACTCTCGTCGTCGTCGGCTGTCCATGGGGAGCTTCTCTCTCGCCATCTCTCCCGCCATCTCTCTCGCGCGCACGCGCTTGTCCCTGCTCGTCTGACGCACGCGAACGAACAAATATACACACCAGTGGACACATTCTCTCTTACGCTCGCTAACTAACCAACCAAACCTCTTGTCTGTGCCTCTCTCTGCCCATTCGTGCTCATCCGCCTCCTACCTTCTCCTCTGCATCCGCGACGAGTCCTCGCATTCGTCCTCTGTGCCCTCTGTGCCTATCCGACGACACGGGCGGCCAGCAATCTCTTGTTAGGCACCGGCAAACACACCCTCTGCCTACCGGGCCCGACCTTGCCTTACCTTTTCGTCCTCGTCCACCTTATCTCCTTGCCGTAACCTGCTGCTCGCCTTGCCGTCTTTTGTTGGCTGTCCCCCCCCCTCCGAGGCCCGGCTTCAAGCTCGCGACAACGGCACTTCCCTCGAACCACGGCCTCCCCTGCCATGCTGTGCTGGTAGCGTCGCGCGCCTTGCCGACGGCTGCCACAGCATGCTACCCTTTCAAGGTAAATCTTCTGTCTGACGCTGTTTGACCGAGGAGCCTCAAGCACCCCCACCCGTGACTGCCCTGCTGAGATTGCTTGACCTTGCAGTCTAGGGTACTATGCCTTCCTCAACCCACGCCATTGACGACGACCAAGATGCGTTGCCCGAGCACTCGACTCCCTCCCGGCCCGCCTCAGACGCAAAGACCCCCCGCGACGACGACTCCAGCCATGCGCCGACGACGCCGACCTCCAAGAACCAGAGGGCCGCCCCCAAGTCCGCTCCCGCCGCCGCCGGGAGTCGCGCCCGCTCAAACTCGAGGAAGCCCGAGCCCACCCTGTTGACCGACTTCCTCAAGGGCCGCCCGTCGCCCGCTCGCCTGGCCGCCGAGCGCAGACGCCGCCTGAGTGTCGAGGCCATCAAGGCCGAGCTGCGCTACGAGATGCGGCAGAGCGCCGTCCGCAAGATCCAGGCCCCCGGCGGCGTGCGCGACAGGGTCCAGACATGGCAAAAGTCAAATGCCTCGGCCATGGCTCAAGGCGACCCCGACGATGCCGCCACCGAACCCCCGGACGTGGCCTTCAGGGACGACGACCTGGACAGCGTCACCGAGGAGGACCGCATCCGCATCAAGATGAGGCAGAACAAGAGGCGCCCTTCCAATTCGAACCCCTTCCTCCACACCGCCCCGGCCGCAAAGGCCTCGGAGCGCGACAAGTCCCCGGATACTGCGCGGCCCAACTCGCCTCCCAAGAAGAGGGTCGTTAGTGACGACAACTGGAGGAAGCCCAAGGCCCGCAAGAACTCCCCCAAGGTCCGCAAGTCCCCGACCCTCAAGCCCAGTCCCATTCCGCCCGACTTTGTCCTGCGCTCGGCCCCGAACCCGTCCGTCCCCAAAAAGATCAAGGCCTGGGCCGCCAAGGTCGACGCTGCCGACAACCCCCCACCGCCTCGCTACAGGCCGAACCAGGCCCAGTCTAGCAGTTCGCGCTCCGAGGGCGTCAGTGATGGAGGATATACGTCGAGCCACACCACCAAGCACGCGCCGAGCTCCACCCCCCGCGCCGGCAACGGCATCTGTGTCACCCCGCTGGGGGACAAGGCCGATCGTGGCGGCATCAGAATCAACACCTCCAGACGGTCCTCGGGACGCGGTGCAGATGGCAGTTTACGCCTCAAATCAAAGGACGCGGCGAGACCAAGGGTCAAGACAGACACCTCCCCGGCCTCGAGGCCAGGAGGCCGAGCGACACCGGGGTCGGAGCGAGATGTGTCCTTTTCCGACCACATCGAGGTTATGACGGATCCGTCGGAGCACTCGTCCACGGTCAGGTCGCATTACGACGACGGCTCCGACCGGATCCAAGTCATTGAAGAGCCGGACTCGGTCCTCGATACCCCTACGAGGGGCTCGGGATCCAAGAGACGCTTCAGACGATGCAAGCCCAGGGTCATCCATCCCGCGCCCAGCTCCATACTCTCCCAGGGTCCGTCGGGTCCTGGCGATGAGGCTTCGTATCTGGGCACGGCGCTCAACGAACCATCCGAGCTGAGCTCTAGCCTGGCAAACAAGTCCATGGCGGACATCCCGGGAGACATTCCCTTTGGCCACTCCGCGTTTAGCGAACTTGATCTCCCCTTCAACCAGAGCAAACCGAAGCGCGCCAAGGTGGACCGAAACTCGAGCCTCAAGACGATGCCCAACGTCTTCAAAAAGGTCATGGAGGAAGGCAAGAAGATGATTCACGACATAAATGAGCCGCCCAAACAGCCCGCCATCAACAGCCCGCCGAGCATCGAAAAGTGGCTCAACAGTACAGTCGATCCGTTTGTCGAAAATTCGGCAAAGCCCTCTGCCACGACCGTCGAGGAGCAGACGCTTCACGACAGCCACTCTTCCCAGCATCGGACCAAGTCCCGGCGGCGTTCATCCCACGAGACGAGGCCCTCGCGCCAGTCCACCCCTCGGTCCGACGATGCCGAGAGCCGAGAGGGCAAGGCACCTCGCACTGACAGCACCGGGACCGCGACCGAGACCGAGGTTGGAAAGGAGCCCACAAGTCCGACCGCTAGCGCCCTCCAGAGGCGGCGAGCGCTCAAAGGCCCATCGTCGCCTCGGAGATCGCCCGGCCGGCGCCCATTCCTGGGGGTGCTGAAGGAGGCTTTTCAGGGCGAGTCTACCGGGCATGGTCCCCGGCCCATGAGCTACCAAGGCCATGAGGAGCGCCTGTTTAACAGCCACGACCCGGCCGCCTCTAGCTACCATTCCTCAGACTATACGTCGACCTCCGTGTCACGCGATACTCCCCGTGCAGCCGAGAGCGACCGTGACGAACAGGTCACCCCAAGGGCCGCTCCTAGGCCGCGGCCACCGACAAGCGGGAAGCAGGAGCTGTCTACTATCCTGTCCGAGGATGACTCTAGTGCTCTCAGCTCGGATCTGGCGTCCGACTTGTCCATTTCCACCATGACGCAGTCAACGACCGTCACGAGGGACAGCGAACCGGGAAGGTCGCATGGCCACGCGCCCGGCCTCAAGCGGCGGCTAACGCGCCATTCGGACCTGGTGTCTGTGCTCTCTCTGCCCGACGACTCGAGTATCCCGAGCGGCATCAGGGACAAGCGATCGCGGCCAAGCTTGAGAAAGGCCCGGGGCACCGTGGACGTGACGGCCGACGAGCTGCTGCGAGAGTTTGTCGATGACGAAAATCTCTACCTACGGCAGCTCAAGACCATGGTTGATGGCGTCGTGCCGGTCCTGCTGTCTCATGTCGTGTACGGCACGAGCGCGACAGAGCTCTTTGGCAGCAGCCCCTCGAAGCCCGGCTCGTACAGCCTGTCAAAGTCGGTCGTCAGCATGGGCGTCGCCCTCGAGAAGCTAAACAATGCGCACAAAAAGGCGTCAACCTCGGACATTCGGAAGCTGTCCCACTGGGCACACGGCATCGTGCCTATCTACAGCAGTTATCTGAGCGCATGGCGGCTGGGCTTCGAAGACGTCGTCGTCAACCTCGCCCCGGCCGAGGGCTCGTCGGGCGACGATGACTCTCTCCTGAATGCGCTGCCCAGGAACGAGAGCGGAGACATTGTCAATGCAGAGGGGGAGCGGGTGGCTGTCGCATACTTGCTCAAGCGACCACTGATTCGGGTCAAGCAGTTGGCGCGCTTCTTCCAATGCGTGGATGCCATTCAAGGCTCCTCGGACACGCATGACCTGGTCCGGGATTTTGAGGTCCTGCAAGAAAAGGCCAGACGGCGACACAAGGAGGAGACGGCCCGGATGACGGACGAAGACGCCGTCGACACCGACACGGCGAGAACCCGTGATCTCAGAACGCTCGAGAGCGCCAAGAGCCCGGTGAAGATTGACCCCAGCCGCCAGGTCAATGCCAAGGACCTCTTCTCGCTCAGCTTGGCGCACTCCAACGGCCAGAGGCTCGAGTGCCAGGTGGAGTTGGTTCACCGCGACAAGCAGAGCCATCCAGGCGACGAGGGCGACTTGCTGATTCGAGAAACGGGGGATCTTCTCCGATCATACCTCCTCTTTGCGCCCATTTCCATGTCGGTGGTGTCTGCGCGCGCCAGCATGGCAGCTCTGGAGATGGTTGTCATGGTTCACGGCACGTACAATGGCAGGGCGTGGCACGAACTGCTCACCCTCGGAGCAGACAGTGAAGACCAGATACAGGATTGGCTCGACATCTTCCCCCGGACTCCCGTGCCGCCGACGGAGCTGGAGCCCAGCGTCGTCAGCGAGCCCGGCCGTCCGTCCACTCCCGAGAGCATGCCGGATATCTCGGTCGGAGCCCCGAGCGAGCTGTCAAGCTCCCCCAGATCGCCGATAGCCAAGGATCTCTCGGCGCCCAGCCCTGACGGCCGCCGTGCTCTTCCGTCGCGATACCGACCCCGATCTTCGACCATTCCGTCGCAACCGTCCCCGGCGCCATCTTCCGACGACGGGGATCCCGAAAAGACCCCCACCCGCCAACATGAGTACAGGGAAGAGAAGAGTCGACGGCCGAGCGAGAGCACGCGGACGGACTCCCGGAGCCTTTGGGCGGAGGACTCGAAACATGTCTACCCGCAAGCTGATGACACGCCGCCGCCGCCGCCGCCAGCGCACCGGTCGCCGCCCAGCCCCAGCCCTCGGGCTGCGGACACGTCGACACCGAAGCTGTCTCCGCCGGTGGACAAGCAGAGTAATGACCGCGTTAAGCGCCGAGGCTCGTCCCCTCTCAAGCACGAGTACCTGCCGTCTGACACGTCGTCTGCGTCTGGCGCCTACTCGACGGAGGAGTCCGAGCCCGAGTCGTCCGACGACGAGATTGAGAGCGTGGACATTCCCGAGACGGAGCTCGGCGTCAGTATCAAGCAGGACACGCTCCCCGAGGCCGAGTCTCAAGTGTCGGCAGTGTCGGCGGCTTCGGCATGCAGCTTGACCCCCTCCAACTCGGCCTCCCAGGCCGGCCTGCACGGCCCCAAGGCGGCACCCGAGGACAAGGCAGAGCGGTTCATTGCAACCATCTCGCGGTGGTCGGATAAGGGCACGTGGAAAGACATGTCGGCACACCCGTGCTCCATCATCGTCAAGGCCGGCCTGGTCGAGGCCTACAATTTTCACAAGAGGGACTCCAAAAAGGACGACAGGCCTCTGCTGGCCCTCGATCTCACCCCGCTCGTCCTGATCAGGCAGAGCACGGCCCTCGACCTCGAGATTCGCTCGTCGGTGCAGCCCCACTGCCTGCTGCATCCGTCGCACGGCGGGGGCAACTTTCGGTTCCGATGCCACAGCGCCCCCGAATGCTTCAGCCTCTACATGTCGGTCCACCACGCGCGGCTCAACAACCAAAAGTTTATCCAGCTCGAAAACGAGGCACGCTTCAAGAGCTTCGGCGAGCGCAATGCGACGGCGGCCGGCGAAGGCAGCTCCAGCAGCCGGCGACGAGGCTGGTTCGGTAGGAAGAACAGCTACCGCGGCTCGGTGAGGGCGCCGTCGCAGTCCCACGACGGAACCAGCACGACGCCGTCGTCGGTGCCCTCGGCGTCGACGTTTCTCAAGAAGCTGACGCTGGCGGGCAACCTGTCGTTTAACATTGCGCGCTCGTCGGTCGACCGACAGGGCGCGGGGAGCGGCGGTGGCGGCAACAGCATGTACACGCTGAATTCCTCGTCGTCGGGCGCGTCCCCCCTGCGGTCGCCATCTGTCAGTATGGCGGAGAGCGGGCGGCACTCGGCGAGCCCGAGCACCGAAAACATCAAAATCCGACTGCACCTCCTGCTGGTGGCGGCGGCCAAATGGGAAGACTACGGCAACTGCAGCCTGCAGATCCGGCGGCCGCCGCCCGGGTGGCGGCAGGCGCTGCGGGCCAACCACGGGCTGGAGAAGCGGGTGACGGTGACGACGGTGCCCAAGAAGGAGTCGGAGGCGCCCAAGGTGGTGCTGGACGCGGTGCTGGGCAGCGGGTGCTTCTCGGGCATGGGCAGCAGGGGCATCGTGTGCGGCGTGTGGGAGGAGGTCAAAGATGGCGACGGCGTCGTGGGCATGGTGCCGGCGACGGGGGCGACGGGGGGCAACATTAAGAAGTGGTGTTTTCAGCTCGCGACGGCAGGCGAGGCGGGATGGGTGTTACGGCTGCTGCACCAGGAGGTTCTCCGCGCTTGACGACACGACATGATGAACGACAGAACCCCCTCCCCCTTGTTTCTCCCTCACATATCCTGTCTTCTCGAGAGGATCCCTTTTTCTCTTCTCTCTCCCCTTTCCCTTTTTTGGTTGCCCTCCGCGTGCCCTTTAGTCTCGTGGTCCGTGACTACTACAGGAGGCGGCCATGTTTGTGTTTTTTTTGGTCGATATTCCCCTGATGTGTGACCGCTGTGGTAAAGCACGCCCTTCTTATTGTCCTGCCCGGGAGACGCGAGCTTGTCTGTGTGTATACTCGTCTGCGAGCATCGCGGTACATATGTGTGGGGTGGCGCAGAGGGCGAGTTCAGCGTGGTGGTGGTGATGTCCATGGGCGAACCAGACAACAAAAGTGCATAGTACGAAGTACAGAAGATTCAAGAAATACAACATTCCTAGTTGAGAGAGGATGGTGGCTACATTGCGAGATTCTCGAGCTATTTGTATCCCTGCTTGACTTTTACTGCCGGACTGCTCGGCTGGCTGCTTTGCTGTCTGCCTGACTGTCTGCCCGACTACTTGATTGACTGCTAGGCTGAATATCCGATTGATTACTTAGTTGACTGCTTGCCTGGCTGCCCGGTTGTTCGATTAAATATCAAGTGCCTCCTTGTACTGTTACGGTGTTTACCTGTCACCGCATCGCTAGTGATGCTTCTATCCGGCGGGCAGCGAACCCCTGTATGGATTAGGTAAACTTGCAGCACGTATTGATACATACGGCCATACCTGCCTGAAAGCATCCGATCCCGTTCGATCTCGGTAAATCAACCAGGCAAGGGGCAGATTAGTAGTTGGGTCGGTGACGACCAGCGAACACCGGCTGCTGTATGTTTTTTAAGTTGTTTCTTTTTGCTACTTCTACTTAAAAGCCTCCCTATGCCTATTATTTCTTTATAACCGTATAATAGGAGTATAGGGGTATATTCTTCTAGTAGCTATAGTATACTCCTTACTATAGCTAATATAGGTAGCGCTAAGCTAGTCTTAGCAGCGCCTTTATATATTAGAAACTACCTAGAAATAATAACTTATTAGTAGATTATATAGCGAATTTTTGGGGAATTCCCTTGATAAGTATAAAGTATAAGAAATATACTAGGGATTCTTAATTAATAATAGTTACACGAGCCCGAGCTATATCGCCTAGAGCCCTAAGATAGACATATGGTCCCACTTACAGCACATGTGCAATGCATCTCCTCTGCGCTCGCACCACACCCCTCCAGGTGAACGTTGCGTGAAGCACGCATGAATATCTACTCTGAGCGAGCATGTTTAAGAATTAAATTCAACAACTCGGGGTCTTTCTGCCTCGAACACCCTTCCTCGTCGCAGCACGCCAGGCGTCAAGGCTACAACTCCCGGGCAAGCCAATTAACTGGCGCATCAGCTCATTTGCTGATCAGTGGGTGAACACCGGCTCCTCCTTCGCGGCAGTGCCCAGCCAATCATTATGCCTCATTCGCCGCGCCGCCTACTCACAATTCCATCAGCTAATGAGGAGTGCGGTCAGGCATTCATGGTAAGGAGAGAGCGGGGTCGCAAGGCGGCAGTCATCACGCAATAAATTCATTCTGGAATGGAAATCCTATCTATCCCTCCGCCAACTTCCGGCCTTTCCTCCTCTTTGCTCCCCCACTGAATGAGGTGTCTGGAGTGACCGCTTGCTGCTCGGCGATACTCGACTGGCTGTCCTGCTCGCCAGCAGAACCGGAGTAACCCGACTGCACCAGATTTCCTAAATCCTGGGAAAGCCCGGTCGCCCCAGAAAGTGGTGGGACATCAAAGTCCAAATCCGACGGCAACTGGTTGATGGCAGAGCAGATGTTCTCGAAATGCTTGGGCATCCATGTGTCGTAGACGTTCTTCGTGAATCGATATGCCGTCCATCTGTCCTTTCCGTCAAGCGCGGTGAAGTCGAATTTATGGATCGGATGGCGGTAGTACTTGATGTCTTTCCCGGCTATCACCGGGTAGTGGCCGTAGATGCGGACCGAGCTATGGTCATGCGAGACAGAGAAGGCGAGGATCTTCCGGTTGACTCTATCCTCGCGCTTTATAGCACGGAAGAGCTCAACAATGGCCCGTACCGCAAGGGTCATGCTGTGCGCATTCTGCCGGTCTGCGATGTCGAGCGCCGCGGCGCCGCATTTCACCTCGGAAGTCAGGAACGGGAAGTACATGTAGTACGTGGCCATGAAGAAGGACTGGTCCCCGGCGATAAAGTCGCCAATAAATGGCGATAGCTTGGCGAGCTGGTCCTCGGTGAATGCGTCTCGTTTGAACCCAACGGAGTAGTCAGGCTGTGGACGGGTGTTTGTGAGAGGGATCGAGTTGTTCCACCCTTCGTTGACGCTCTCGACAAGGCGTTTATAGTTCTTGTTCCGGAGTGCGAGCGATTCCGCCGAAGGAACGATAAGCCTTGAGATATCTTGAATGATCCTCGCCTCATTCTTATTCTCGAGGTTGCGACAAGCATCCACGAAGATATCGTCGTCGAAGAGGGTCCCCTGAGGAACCGACTGCCCATCGCTAAGGAGGTCCCTAATAAGTTGCTTGCTCGTATTGGTAACACCAAGCTCAGAGATATCCATATATGAGCCCTTAGTCTGGAGCAGGAGCGGGTATCGCGCGTCCCTATACGGCGCACTCTTCTCCTCCCTCGGCTTCTGGTCGCTGGGCGTCGTGGATGTAGCAGAGTTCGATCGCTTCCGGGACAGGGTGGACAAGGATTTCTTCCGCGCAAGTAGTAGACGGTCCAATGTAAAACCCGTCCTTGAGGTCTCTTCTGGCCAGTCCTGTTCCTCTGGCCAGCGCCCTTGCTTCACCCAGAAAGCAACCGGGTTAGTGTGTTTGTGGGCGCCGCTGGTAATCGCTGGCTCGCCAAATGCGTCTTCGGTAGGGCGTGGAGGGGATGTCCGTTGTCGCTTCGGGTTTAAGTCTAGGTCTGGGCTGGCCTCGAGCGCGTGCCCGACTGATTGCTTGCGCTTGCGACCTCTGCTCTGCATAGGCGCTGGCGAATCCTGTGGACCCTGTGAACCAACTTCGCTTGTGAACCGTATAATACGAAGGATAGAAGTCATACTTGTGGATATGGTGTCTCGCTGGGTGTAGTTGGATGCGGGCGATTGCGTTCGGCGCGCCTGGTTGCGCGCTTTCGAGAACTGCCTTTGCGCGGCTGGATGCCCTGGGGTCGATTCCTGCAAGTGTCAGCGGAAGGGAGATGTCCTTTAGCGCTGCGAATAATGAGTACCTTGATTGTTTGACGCCGGCGATGGGGGCGCCCCCTGGGCTGCTGTTTGGGCTCGAGTGCGCGCCATGGCGATGAGAACACGGAAGGGAGGGGGAGGTCTTGGTTATGTGCCCTGGGACGAAGGTCTCGAGATGGAGTGGCGTGTGGGGAATGCATGGCTGCGAGCCTGCAGGAATGGGGTCCACGAGCGCCGACCAATCGTCAAGCGCCACCGTAACTGTGAGTCCCACAATTTCCATCCAATGGCAGGACCATGGTTCTTTCGATGCGACGTGCCCCCAGCTGCTCATTCACGCCCAACCTGCATCGAAACACCGGGTCAGGAATCTGCAGGACCCCATTGCCGAGTGTTAAGTGTCACGACCTAACAAGGGTCCCAGTGGGCCATAGACTAATGTGTAGGTAGCTATTGAAGGTTGGGCTCACGCCTACACGCACTAATAGGCGCGCTCCTTATCCCTATAAGCGAAAACGATGCTATCGCCGTATCCGGAGGCACCGAATGCGGCAGTTAACCTAAGGGATACTAAGGAAGTTACTTAATAGATCCGGATAACCGTAAGCTACCGGATTAATAGGGAAACCTATCCCCCCCTATACTTTATATATATATATATATAGTTATACTTATAGACTCCTTCTCTTAAGTAGGAAAGAGTAATATATACCTTCTTTTTTTAATATAAAGACCTAATAACTAGTAATAGTTATAAGCTTAGTATAAGTCTATAGCTATTATCTTTTTATATTATTTAATTAATTATAATATAAGGAAGTAAAGCTACTTATAGCCCCTTTTTATACTAATAATATTAATTTTTATTAAAAAAAAACTTCTTATAAAACTAATATACGCCCGCGGTAGGTATATATCGCGACTAAAATACTAACTAATACTAAGAATTAATTTAGCGGTATTAATTACCTTTAGTAATAATACTATAATAAGGCTAAGGGGTAGGTAGACGTAAAAGCGGCCCTCGATATACTAGGCTCGACTAAAGCGTATAGCGTAAAGAGACGCTACCTAAGTTTATATACCTTAATAAAGCGAGTTAATAAACCTAAAGTAGTAATATAATACTTAGTTAAGCGCTAAGTAACCTTATAGAAAAAGTAGTATATAATAAACTTATAGGCTTTATCCTAAGTATATAGTTTAGTAAGGTATAGGTAGTAGTTAAATAGCTTTTTAAGGTAAAGAGCTATATTAATAGCGCGTTATTAGCGGTGCTTTACGCGAATAAGAGCTTTAAGACGATAATCTAGGAAGTAATTAAGGAGGTAGTTAAGGAGGAACTCCGCCTAAGTATCGCTTTAGGCCTAGGGGGCCTAAAGCGAACTTAAGCCGCGGTTATAGCTAAGACTAAGGGATCGACCTAATATAAAGCCGCGGTAAAATAGGTCCTACCGCGCTATAAATATAAGATTATCGTAGTCCTTACTAAGGTACTACTTAAAATCCTAAGCTATAAACTAAAGGATATAATAAAAGTAGTAAATACGGCCTTAAAAGCTATAAGCGTTATAGTAGCGAGGCGCCTTTAAAGTAAAGATACCGCGGTTATATTTAATACCTTAGTAAGAGCCTATTAAAGGGACTAAGGCTAGGTTAAGGCTATATTTAGACTAAAGGCTATAATTACTTACCGTGCGTATATAGTAGTCGCTAAGAATATCTCTTTAAGGGTAGTAATAGTAAATAAAGAGCGATTACTTTATAAGATTAAAAAGGTAAATAAAGTTAAGGTCTTTTAGGCCTAAGTATTATACCCTTAATTTAAGATATTAATAGTAATAACTATACTTATTAAGGTTAATAGCTTAAAGGAAGCTAATAAGCTTTATAACTTAAGCTTAGTCCTTAAAGTATAAATCTTTTAATATAAACCTTATAATAAGTTAGTTTAACTATAAAAGTATTATAATTACTATAGGTATAGCTATATCGCTAAGCGGTATATATCGATATAACTTTATAGCTAATATAGAAGTATAGTATATAATAAAAGTAAGGATAAATATAAAGCTAAGAAGGGTAAAATCCCTTATAACTATATCTTATATTAAGAGAACTACTTATTATAAACCTAAACTTACTTTATAGTAAATAAAGCCTAAGAAAAGGTAAGGGAAAACTACTTATAATAACCTTAATAGTTCGCGAATACCTAGACTTATATTAAGTAATAAGTACTACTTACTATTAAAACCTAAGGTATTCTTAAATTAACCGCGGTTTAAAAGTAAGGACTAAATAAACCGCGCTAAGATAAAAGGTCTAGCTAAAGATACCTACTAGCTAGTAAGGCTAGGGAAGCTAAACTAAATATAAACGATATTTATAAGTATAGTAAATAAAAAAGTACTAAGAGATAAAGCGCTTCTTTTTTTATATAAATAACCTTTTTTACCTTAACCTTACTTATATATAACTAAAAGTACTATTTTAAAATATATAAAAGAAATATAAGCTAGCTTAGTTAGCGCTTTATTACTAGGCTAGCTTTAACTTAATAGTATTATAGGAAGTAAAAGCTATATTAAGATATAGGGCCCTACCTCTTAAAGCAGCGCCTTATAGCTTAGGTTATAAGGAGGGGAGGTATACGCTATATATATATAAAAGGCTTAGGCTAAGGACTTAGTTACCTTAGTTTAAACTAAACTAAAGTAAGGTAATTTTTAAGGATAGTATTAAACTATAAATAATTTACTTATTACTAAGGGCCGCGAAGGCTAGAATATTATAAGACTTAAGTATAATTAAACTAAAGTACCTTATAATAATAGTAAAGAACTTTAATATCTATTACTTACTTTAAGATAAATATAATAGAACCTTAGATAGTATAATATAACTTATATAAGAGGTAATAAAACTATAACTTAAACTTACTACTTTAAAAAGAGAGTATATAAGATTTTTCTATAGCTAAAGGGATAGTACTATTAACCTAGCTTAAGTAATACTAAAGACTAAGATATAGTATACTAAGCTTAACTTAGACTTAACTAGGTTAGATTATATCCCTTAAACTATTATACTATAAATTAATACTTAGGCCTAGGCGCTTAAACTAGCTTTAAGGTAAAAAGAAGTAAAAGCTAGGCTAGTTAAAGCTAAGACTATATCTTAGCTAAGACTATACTAGCTAATACTTTAGATATTAAAGGATATTAACTAAGACCTAAACTATATCTTTACTACTTTAATATAGATCGCGATAGCTATAGTTCCGCGCTAAAGGTAAGTAGTACTTAAGGGCAATATATAGTTTACCTTAAAGGTAAGAAGGGCGATAAGGGAGGCTAAAAGGGTAAGGAGGAAGTATAAGTAAGAAAGGAGTAAAGTAAACTAAAAAGACTTATATAAAGCGACTATAGCTTAAAAGTAGACTATCTATAAAGTAAGGAGGGCTTACTAGTATAAGTTCTTAAAGGGATTTAGCACTAATAATACTAAGCTTTAAAATATAAAGAGGTAAGCTAAACTCTATAGTAAGCTACTTCTTAAGCAGTGGCTTAAGAGCATAGTAGAAGAAATAGGGGCATAGAAAGGTGAATTTAGTGATATATGTCTTGGTCTATCTATTAGGATAAGGGAGGGGCTTATATAGGTATAGTGACTATATATAGCTAGCTAAAAGAGGGCAATAGGATGTTCCTATACCTAAGTTAGGCCTATATAGTATCCTTAGGCTAGGGGAGTTATATTATTTAGGCAGGCTTCCTTATGCATAACTATTAGGTCTACTAAGCATAACTATGGCCTCTTATGCCCACTCTCTCTCCTTAACACACCCCCTTATCACACCAGCTTCTAGATAGTGGGGCAATAGGTAGAGGAGGGTTCGGTCTAATAAATATAAGGTTATTCCGATATTAAATTCGGCTGCTTTATTATCTATTTAAGGAGGTTGTCTAAAAATAGGGGAGGCTCTTAATTATATCCTATAAAAAAGGGAAGGTAAATACAGCAAAAGGCAAAAGCCGGGACCCGAGAGGATAGGATGTAAGGAGAACCCTCCTCCGTATATCCTATCTCCTCGGGCCCCTAAGTTCGTTGACCGCGCCCCCCCTAAGGCGTGGTCATATAACCTGCTCTTCCGCCCTAGGGGGAGTCGAACTTACGATTAATAGGGTTATATAACCTACTCTTACCGTTTAACTAGTAGTTATAAGTTATATTTATAACCTTCCTTATAAGGAGGGGGGATAGCGGGGCATCCCTTTAAATAGCCTAGGTACCGTAGTACCTTTACCGGCGATGTTATTATTTAGGATAAAAGTAATCCTAAAGGTAGGCTTTCTAATAATATATTCCTTATATTAATTAGTCTTAATTTAGTAAAGCTATCGCGATTATCGTAAGTTTAAGCGCTATAGTATTATACTAATTAAGGGGTAGTCTAGTAATAGCTTTACTTCTTAGTAGTAAATAGGGCTAACTTCTACCCCCTAGATCTTTATGGTTTCTTAACTAAATTAAGATCTAACTACGCCGTTAGAATCCCTTAATCTTAGTGTATATAGTAGTGCTCTTATTATCGGGATCCGGCGATTATCGAGTTCGCTATAGTAGGGAGATATCACGCCTTAATACGGTGGTTAGGTATATTATCTCTTAATATATCTTCCGGCCGTGTTACTAGTCCTAGTTACTTAATAAAGCTCTAATACTTCTAGTATATAAGCGCCTTCGTTATGCTATTAGCTAGGTTATTTACTAATGCGATCTAGCTAACTTATATCCGATCTTGCTATACCTCCTAACGAAGCTAGTATCTATAAACGTTAACGTGCTTAAGGTTCGTCTTAAGCTTCGCGCTTAATTTAGTTAGAAGCCTAATAGTCTAAAGGTTATTATACTAGAGCTCTATAGTCCCTTTAATACTAATGCTAAGCTCCTTAATTAGTCGGCTAAATACTATCTATTCCTTAGCTGTCTATAAGAGTGCTAATAATTTAGCTTCTATAGAGGACGTTATTATAGTAGCTTGCTTAGTAGCTTTCTAGTTAATTAGCCTACTAAGGAGTAGGAATACGTATCCTTATAAGGACTTCCTAGTCTCTAGGTTATCGGCGTATAAGGAGTTAGATATATATATTAGCCGCCTTATTAGGTTTATCGCCGTAAAGTAAATATAGCGGTTTCTCGTGTAATAGAGGTAAGCTAGGCACTTGCGTGCTTCGTGCCTATAGCGCGGCCCGGGGTTATAATTATATTAGGCTAGCATTCCGGCTATAAATGC